ATATGTGTTACAGTTTTTGTCCCCTCTCTCATCCATGTAAGAATGGAAGGGTGTAGAAACACTACAGGGCATTAGAGGGCGCTGAATTCGCTCCCCTGTTTTGGCATCTAAAGAAAAGCTGACATGAAGAAGGAGGTCAGTTGGGGGTAGAGGGAACTTATGTTTCTTTGGTGGCTCCTTCAAAAACTTGTACTCGTAGAGAAACCGTTTGGTTTTAAGCTCAATGTAAGAGCTGATCTCTTCATTCATGTCTTAGGGTGAATTGGGAAGTAATCATAAGCTTGGATGGTTTAAAAAGGATGCTGTGGCGAAGTGGATTTTTTTGGAATGGACAGTGCTAATGAAAAGTGAAATATTTCAGCGCACTCAATGTTTTTTTTCTCCTTCTTCAGGTTGCATAACCTAAATTGTTTTCACAGGACAAATTAATCGCAGATAAGAACCCTTAAGATGATCTTTTTTTGTTAAATCAAAGACAATGGTTTTCTATTATTTATTCCGAATTATTATTAGGAACTGCCAGCTTTGGGGGAATGAAACACACACAAAAAAACGGTAGAACGTTTGTTCAAGTTTGTTAAACAATTTATTTGATCTGTGTTAAACCCTCAATAGTAAACAAAAAAGAAAAGTTACAACATGATAGAAAGTGAGTCCCATCAGGGCACATGGAGCTCTCGAGCAACTGTTGAACATCTGGAGAGTGTAAAGCGTGTCTGATCTCAGTGTTTTTGTGTTGAACATCTGGAGAGTGTAAAGTGTGTCTGATCTCAGTGTTTTTGTGTTGAACATCTGGAGAGTGTAACGTGTGTCTGATCTCAGTGTTTCTGTGTTTAACATCTGGAGAGTGTAAAGCATGTCTGATCTCAGTGTTTCTGTGTTGAACATCTGGAGAGTGTAAAGTGTGTCTGATCTCAGTGTTTCTGTGTTGAACATCTGGAGAGTGTAAAGCGTGTCTGATCTCAGTGTTTCTCTGTTGAACATCTGGAGAGTGTAAAGCGTGTCTGATCTCAGTGTTTCTCTGTTGAACATCTGGAGAGTGTAAAGTGTGTCTGATCTCAGTGTTTCTGTGTTGAACATCTGGAGAGTATAAAGCGTGTCTGATCTCAGTGTTTTTGTGTTGAACATCTGGAGAGTGTAAAGCGTGTCTGATCTCAGTGTTTCTGTGTTGAACATCTGAAGAGTGTAAAGTGTGTCTGATCTCAGTGTTTCTGTGTTGAACATCTGGAGAGTGTAAAGTGTGTCTGATCTCCGTGTTTCTGTGTTGAACATCTGGAGAGTGTAAGGCGTGTCTGATCTCCGTGTTTCTGTGTTGAACATCTGGAGAGTGTGTAAAGCGTGTCTGATCTCCGTGTTTTTGTGTTGAACATCTGGAGAGTGTAAAGCGTGTCTGATCTCAGTGTTTCTGTGTTGAACATCTGAAGAGTGTAAAGCGTGTCTGATCTCAGTGTTTCTGTGTTGAACATCTGGAGAGTGTAAAGCGTGTCTGATCTCAGTGTTTCTGTGTTGAACATCTGGAGAGTGTGTAAAGCGTGTCTGATCTCAGTGTTTCTGTGTTGAACATCTGGAGAGTGTAAAGTGTGTCTGATCTCAGTGTTTCTCTGTTGAACATCTGGAGAGTGTGTAAAGCGTGTCTGATCTCAGTGTTTCTGTGTTGAACATCTGGAGAGTGTAAAGCGTGTCTGATCTCAGTGTTTCTGTGTTGAACATCTGGAGAGTGTAAAGTGTGTCTGATCTCCGTGTTTCTGTGTTGAACATCTGGAGAGTGTAAGGCGTGTCTGATCTCCGTGTTTCTGTGTTGAACATCTGGAGAGTGTGTAAAGCGTGTCTGATCTCCGTGTTTTTGTGTTGAACATCTGGAGAGTGTAAAGCGTGTCTGATCTCAGTGTTTCTGTGTTGAACATCTGAAGAGTGTAAAGCGTGTCTGATCTCAGTGTTTCTGTGTTGAACATCTGGAGAGTGTAAAGCGTGTCTGATCTCAGTGTTTCTGTGTTGAACATCTGGAGAGTGTGTAAAGCGTGTCTGATCTCAGTGTTTCTGTGTTGAACATCTGGAGAGTGTAAAGTGTGTCTGATCTCAGTGTTTCTCTGTTGAACATCTGGAGAGTGTATAAAGCGTGTCAGATCTCAGTGTTTCTGTGTTGAACATCTGGAGAGTGTAAAGCGTGTCTGATCTCAGTGTTTCTGTGTTGAACATCTGGAGAGTGTATAAAGCGTGTCTGATCTCAGTGTTTCTGTGTTGAACATCTGGAGAGTGTATAAAGCGTGTCTGATCTCAGTATTTCTGTGTTGAGCATCTGGAGAGTGTAAAGCGTGTCTGATCTCAGTGCTATTGTGTTGAACACCTGGAGAGTGTATAAAGCGTGTCTGATCTCAGTGTTTCTGTGTTGAACATCTGGAGAGTGTGTAAAGCGTGTCTGATCTCAGTGTTTCTGTGTTGAACATCTGGAGAGTGTATAAAGCGTGTCTGATCTCAGTGTTTCTGTGTTGAACATCTGGAGATTGTGTAAAGTGTGTCTGATCTCAGTGTTTCTGTGTTTAACATCTGGAGAGTGTAAAGTGTGTCTGATCTCAGTGTTTCTGTGTTGAACATCTGGAGAGTGTATAAAGTGTGTCTGATCTCAGTGTTTCTGTGTTGAACATCTGGAGAGTGTAAAGTGTGTCTGATCTCAGTGTTTCTGTGTTGAACATCTGGAGAGTGTAAAGTGTGTCTGATCTCCGTGTTTCTGTGTTGAACATCTGGAGAGTGTAAAGTGTGTCTGATCTCAGTGTTTCTGTGTTGAACATCTGGAGAGTGTAAAGCGTGTCTGATCTCAGTGTTTCTGTGTTGAACATCTGGAGAGTGTATAAAGCATGTCTGATCTCAGTGTTTCTGTGTTTAACATCTGGAGAGTGTAAAGTGTGTCTGATCTCAGTGTTTCTGTGTTGAACATCTGGAGAGTGTATAAAGTGTGTCTGATCTCAGTGTTTCTGTGTTGAACATCTGGAGAGTGTAAAGTGTGTCTGATCTCAGTGTTTCTGTGTTGAACATCTGGAGAGTGTAAAGTGTGTCTGATCTCCGTGTTTCTGTGTTGAACATCTGGAGAGTGTAAAGTGTGTCTGATCTCAGTGTTTCTGTGTTGAACATCTGGAGAGTGTAAAGCGTGTCTGATCTCAGTGTTTCTCTGTTGAACATCTGGATAGTGTATAAAGCGTGTCTGATCTCAGTGTTTCTCTGTTGAACATCTGGAGAGTGTAAAGCGTGTCTGATCTCAGTGTTTCTGTGTTGAACATCTGGAGAGTGTAAAGCATGTCTGATCTCAGTGTTTCTGTGTTGAACATCTGGAGAGTGTAAAGCGTGTCTGATCTCAGTGTTTCTGTGTTGAACATCTGGAGAGTGTAAAGCGTGTCTGATCTCAGTGTTTCTCTGTTGAACATCTGGAGAGTGTAAAGTGTGTCTGATCTCCGTGTTTCTGTGTTGAACATCTGGAGAGTGTAAAGTGTGTCTGATCTCAGTGTTTCTGTGTTGAACATCTGGAGAGTGTAAAGCGTGTCTGATCTCAGTGTTTCTGTGTTGAACATCTGGAGAGTGTAAAGCGTGTCTGATCTCAGTGTTTCTGTGTTGAACATTTGGAGAGTGTAAAGTGTGTCTGATCTCAGTGTTTCTGTGTTTAACATCTGGAGAGTGTAAAGTGTGTCTGATCTCCGTGTTTCTCTGTTGAACATCTGGAGAGTGTAAAGCGTGTCTGATCTCAGTGTTTCTGTGTTGAACATCTGGAGAGTGTAAAGCGTGTCTGATCTCAGTGTTTCTCTGTTGAACATCTGGAGAGTGTAAAGCGTGTCTGATCTCCGTGTTTCTGTGTTGAACATCTGGAGAGTGTAAAGTGTGTCTGATCTCAGTGTTTCTGTGTTGAACATCTGGAGAGTGTAAAGCGTGTCTGATCTCAGTGTTTCTGTGTTGAACATCTGGAGAGTGTAAAGCGTGTCTGATCTCAGTGTTTCTGTGTTGAACATCTGGAGAGTGTAAAGTGTGTCTGATCTCAGTGTTTCTGTGTTGAACATCTGGAGAGTGTAAAGCGTGTCTGATCTCAGTGTTTCTCTGTTGAACATCTGGAGAGTGTAAAGCGTGTCTGATCTCAGTGTTTCTGTGTTGAACATCTGGAGAGTGTAAAGCGTGTCTGATCTCAGTGTTTCTGTGTTGAACATCTGGAGAGTGTAAAGTGTGTCTGATCTCAGTGTTTCTGTGTTTAACATCTGGAGAGTGTAAAGTGTGTCTGATCTCCGTGTTTCTGTGTTGAACATCTGGAGAGTGTAAAGCGTGTCTGATCTCAGTGTTTCTGTGTTGAACATCTGGAGAGTGTAAAGCGTGTCTGATCTCAGTGTTTCTGTGTTGAACATCTGGAGAGTGTAAAGCGTGTCTGATCTCAGTGTTTCTCTGTTGAACATCTGGAGAGTGTAAAGCGTGTCTGATCTCAGTGTTTCTCTGTTGAACATCTGGAGAGTGTAAAGCGTGTCTGATCTCAGTGTTTCTGTGTTGAACATCTGGAGAGTGTAAAGCGTGTCTGATCTCAGTGTTTCTGTGTTGAACATCTGGAGAGTGTAAAGCGTGTCTGATCTCAGTGTTTCTGTGTTGAACATCTGGAGAGTGTAAAGCGTGTCTGATCTCAGTGTTTCTCTGTTGAACATCTGGAGAGTGTATAAAGCGTGTCTGATCTCAGTGTTTCTCTGTTGAACATCTGGAGAGTGTAAAGCGTGTCTGATCTCAGTGTTTCTGTGTTGAACATCTGGAGAGTGTAAAGCGTGTCTGATCTCAGTGTTTCTGTGTTGAACATCTGGAGAGTGTAAAGCGTGTCTGATCTCAGTGTTTCTGTGTTGAACATCTGGAGAGTGTAAAGCGTGTCTGATCTCAGTGTTTCTGTGTTGAACATCTGGAGAGTGTAAAGCGTGTCTGATCTCAGTGTTTCTGTGTTGAACATCTGGAGAGTGTAAAGCGTGTCTGATCTCCATGTTTCTGTGTTGCAGGTGGCTGGAGAGCAGAAGTATCACCCAGAATGCTTCACCTGTCTAAACTGCCGAGCGTTCATCGGTGATGGAGACACGTATGCGCTGGTGGAGCGTTCCAAACTTTACTGGTGAGTGACACCCAGGGCTCGACTTTCTTTCTCACGAGTCACTGTGACTTATAGGTGTGTAACGATACCCTCATGTCATGATTTGATACACATCACAACACTGAACTCACAATACAGTATTATTGCAATATTCCAAGACATATGATAAAAGGTTAAATAATTCAGTTTTGATTAAAATGCTAAATTTGATATTACATTGTGTGTGTAAATGAATAGGCTTAGACTTGGTGCTGGAAACCCGAAGCACATCACAAGACACCAGGATAACAATATTCATGATTCTGAAGCTGAAAATACAGAATCATTTTCGATTAATATGCTTCACTGACTAGATATATTTTAAATAATATAGGTCACTTTTTATGGAAGCCTATGGGTAGCAATATTCGATTTACATTTGCCATTTCATACACTAGATTTAATATATATTTTGTATTACAGAAATTCTTTGATATGTTTAACATGTTCAAGCAAAAACTGCATTTACACTCACAGTTAAGACACTTGCGATTGCATTTTCATTAAATGTCATTTTGCATATTACATTTCAAACTGAATATTGCTACCCATATTCTTCCATACTTTTTACTAATTGACATTATCAGTAAAACTCTTAAATTGTTTCTTACTCAGTCATTTTTATTTTGGGTGAACTACACACAATACATCATGTCACTATCCACGATACATATTGTTGCAGTTTTGTATTGCGCTATATTGTTACACTCGTAGTGGCTTAGGCACTCAGCCTTTAAACTAGCCACAAGTTTGACATCGATGCCATATGGAAGAAATATATAAAATGATATTTTATAATTTGGTGTCTGCTGTCTCTTTAAGGCCTGATGCACATGCGATCTCTCTCTCAATTGTTTACTTTTGCTTAAAACATATCTTTTTACGTGAATACTCACCTAGACTGGCATTTTCACATTACTGTAATTATGTAAATAATGCACAATCCTACGTCGAAATTCAAGTCCTGTAAATGAAAAGAGTGAGTGAGGAGATCAGTTTCAGACGTTTCAGGATCAATATGTTGCAAAAAAAAAAGAAGATATTTTTGGACAACACTACATTGGGCTCAGTTTATTATTTCAGATGCCTTTTCAAAAGAGTACATATGAAAACTGTTTATATCAATATCAAAGTCAACCTGCTGTAAAGTGTCTAGTTGGAGTGACTGCTGAAATACACACGCATTTGGTGGACTGAAGCCGTGGTGATGCATACAAACCAAAACCCAAAAAAGCCAACGGACACATGTGACATTCTGCTGACCGCTGGAAGATTTACTTTGACAATCTACTGGCTATAAGCAACTTTCTCTAACACTAAACGAGAGTTAGTGCGCACACACTTACTTATAGTCAAAAGAGTGTGTGAAAGGGACCATCACAATAAAGCGAGACCAGATATAGCTGTTGTTATATAGCATGAGCTGTTGTTATGGGTTATTAATATGTCTTGTTGTGTGGGTGTGATGTAGCCGTGCAGAAGATGCGTTTCATCTTCATACAGCAACTGCATCTTATGAGCTGTGAAAGTATCTGCTTTATTCATGTGAAAAACACTGTGAAAAGGCTCACATGGCCTGTAAAACACGGCTTATTAATAATTAATTACTAACAGGAACTATTTCAGTGACTGTCACAATATTTAGAAATCTACAGTTTGATGATTTGAATCAACTAGTAACCCGTCCTCACCGATCGCAGAACAACAGATCAATAAATCAATACTAGACCCTGTAAATGTAGTGTGATTTAACCTAACAATAGGAGAAATGCCCCTCTTTGATGACTGATGACCCCTTAATACCTTTCTCTTCATAATTCATAAAAGTGAAAAAATCTACAGTTTCATGACAGCCTGGATGTTTGAACGACTCGTTCTTAAGCAGTACGTGAAGATGTTTCTAACGTCATTAAAAGGTAATTGATGATATGACATGTGCTTTAAACTGCAGCTAAACTTGTGTTGTGTCTCCCTCTAGTGGCCAGTGTTATTACCGCACCGTGGTGACTCCGGTCACCCTGCCCGACTCGCCCTGCTCCAGGATCCCCCACACGGTCACGCTCGTGTCCATCCCCGCCTCCACCGATGGGAAGCGCGGGCTCTCCGTGTCCATCGATCAGGGCTCCAGTCCCAACGGATACAGCCCCGAACACAAGCCCACCATCAGAGTCTCGCAGTGAGTGTTTGTCCCCGCCAAATATCATCCGTTTAATACTTTGATTTACAATTTGGAATTAAAATGCAAATGAGTGAGAAAGGAAAAGTAAGGTATAATAGCTTGAGTATCCATGAACACTGCGCTGAAATCTTCAAACGTCTCTGTCCTGGTCATGTGACGCGTGTCATGGTTTTGTGTGTGTGTGTGTTCAGGGTGGACCCAGAGTGCATCAGTCCAGATGTCAAGAACTCTATTCATGTCGGCGATCGGATCCTGGAGATCAACGGGACGCCGATTCAGAACGTTCCTCTGGACGAGGTGAGTAAAACACACACACACTGAGCTTTTGATGTCTGCTGAACACCACACAGCTTTATAACACTATTATTATAGTTTAATTAGCTCATATGTAAGAGTTAGATCATGATTCTCACTGTAGATCGTGACGAAAAACAAAAGAGCCGACCTTTATTAGACATTGATTGCTTTTTAAAGGAGTAGTTCACTTTAATGGGAACCAAACGGTTCAAGGTCCAAAAGACAGTTTCAGTGCAAACTGTTCAAAGGGCTTTAAACGACTCCAGACGATGAATAAGGGTCTTATCAAGCGAAACGAAGTTGTATAAGCTCAAACGCTCGCCTTGCTCTGTTCTGTGATGCGCGTTCGTGACTCTCCTGTTCAGCAAAATGAACGAATCTTTTTCCGAGTCATTTGGTTGATTCAACGAACAAAACGAACGAATTGACTCAGAAAAAGATTTGTTCATTTTGCTGAACGAGTTCGAACAGGAGTCACGTACGTGCATGAGTCTCTAATATCGGTTGGTTTAAAGAACTTAATGAACGAAATGTTCCCGTTGTCCATGACTTGATCTAAAGTGTGAACTGTTTACTGCTAATAAGTAATGATCAATGCCTTTACTACGAGCTGATTAAACCACAACTGTGACGATGAATGAAGAACTCACTATTTCTACACAGTCTATTATTACATTACAATATATGAGCCATAAATGATTTGTAAGTCCTGATTGTGTGTGTCAGATTGATCTGCTGATCCAGGAGACCAGTCGTCTGCTTCAGTTGACCATTGAGCACGACCCCCATGATCACGGCTCCTCAGAGGACCAGGTGGACGGCCCCACACCCCTGTCTGAGGGCCCCAGTCCCATCATGCCCATCACACGCCCGCCCAGCCAGGACATCAACAACCTGCGCTCGCGCATCATCACGTCAGTACACACACACACACAACAATCACTTTGAATTGCAAAGTGGGTCTCGCTTTATTGTGACGGCCCCTTTCACACACACTCTGTAAGTATCGCTGCCCTGCATGTGCTCTAACTCTCTCTAGACTGGAGTTCGGGACTGAACAAGTTGACTAATTTGCTTATAGTCAGTCGAGTGTCTGTTGGGGAGCGTCACAATAAAGAGTTGGCAGATATTAAAGGGATAGTTCAGTTTGAAATTAATTTTTGGTATGTTTTATCTTACCTCAAGGGCATCCAAGATGTAGGTGTCTTTGTTTCCACAGTATTTTCAATTTTGACATTTTTCAGTCAAACCGTTGGAGGCTAACGCCGCCTTCACACTGGCAGTTGAAATCAGCTCCGATGCGGCTGCGAAACGACCGGAAGTCATTCATTTCCTATGGAGATTCGCAGACCGCATGCGAATGGGTCCGAAACGGGTCCGACCGAGTGCGGTGCGAAGAAAATCGTGTCCGTTGGTCATCCGGATGCGTTCAAAAATTTGAACTCGTGCGAAAAGCTACGGACGGTTCCTATCCGACAATTCCAGCGAAAGTTGAGCGTTGCTATGGTACTGATAAACAAACCTGAATTATTAACTTTTAATAACACAAATAATGATTTTATAACGATAAGTTGTGATGTCATTTTTTATTTTCATGACTTTCTAACGTTTATAAGGGCAGTTAATACAATTGAAGGTAGACATTGAACTATTGACCACTATATCACATATTTTAGCCGACCTGACATGTCAACGTATCATCAGAGAGATCATACAGAACTGACAGAATCAACCTTTAATCTCTCCGCCATTTTTGTTCTACCCGCGTCCGACGCTTTTCACTGTGTAGTACGATGTCCGTTGCGTATTACGGAGCTGATTTCGACTGCCAGTGTGAAGGCGGCGTAAGGGGGTCCACCAAAAAGCATGCACAGAGAAGTCCAAATTAAACATGATTTAATGACCGTAAGTACACATTGATGGCCTAAGACACGAAACGAGCGGTTTGTGTGAGAAAACCAACAGTATTTATATCGTTTTACCTCTTGTAATCACAGCCATGACAAAATGATCTGACGGCACGGGCGCTGGAAGTGATCGCTTGCGCGTCTACGTCACTCTTTGTTTATACGGAGATTTCGGAAGTTTTACCTTTCACTAAACATATTTAGATATACGGGAAACCGCAATGGAAGACGATTTCGGTATATCTAAATATGTTTAGTAAAAGGTAAAACTTCCGAAATCTCCGCGTAAATATTGAGTGACGTCACACGCAAGCGATCACTTCCGGCGTAACATTGAACTGATTCAGTTCGGTTCAGTTGGATATTGCACAACTGATTCAGATCACTGTGATTACACGAGGTAAAAACGATATAAATACTGTTCGTTTTCTCACACAAACCGCTCGTTTCATATCTTAGGCCATCAGTGTGTACTTACATTTACGAGTCATTAAATCATGTTTAATTTGGACTTCTCTGTGCTGCTCTTTGGTGGACCCCCTTAGCCTCCACTATATGACTGGCAGACAAGAACGGTTTGACCTAAAAATATCAAAATTGAAAATACTGTGGAAACAAAGACACCTACATCTTGGATGCCCTTGAGGTAAGATAAAACATACCAAAAATTAATTTCAAACTGAACTATCCCTTTAATGAGAGTTAGTGCACATGTAGGGGCATTGTTACTTACGCTCAACAGAGTGTGTGAAAGGGGCCATCACAATAAAGTGCCTCCTTGTCATTTACGACTTATAACAACAACAAAACACAGTGTCTAAGAGCTGATATGTGCCACGGTGGACAGCAAACCAGCTAAACAGACAGAAATGAGCTGTACAAATACAGAGTTTAAGGAGACAGTAGTGGACACCGGCTTGACTGATGGGTGAACTGGGCAGTATACACTGGAGAAGTCCTGTGTTTATTATATTCCTGTCTCCGGTGAGGTCCGCTCCAGTGTTTCTGGTGTTTTAGTGTGTCAAACTGGTTTGTGTTTGTTTAGCTTGTGTGCTGTACACCGTCACAGTGTTCTGCTGTGTGTTGCCTCACACACTGCCAGTGTGGGCGTGGCCTGCATGGGCTCTGTCGCTATAGTAACGGCCTGCGCCTGTGTGTGTGTGTGTTGTGTGCAGGCGCAGCTACAGCATTGATAAATCCCCGAGCTCCAGCAGCTCCCCGTCTCCTCTGTCCCTGCGGAAGGACATCGGCCGCTCCGAGTCGCTGCGCGCCGTCACCAACCGCACACACCGCATATTCAGGGCCTCCGACCTCATCCACGGAGAGGTGCTGGGCAAGGGCTGCTTCGGCCAGGCCATCAAGGTCAGAACACACACACACACACACTCACATGTGTTGTCCTCGACGTTATGGTTTTTCTACGGTACTAGCTGTATATTCTCGAACCCTGCCCCTCACACACTACTTCCTGTTTTACATAAAGCATCACCTGATCTGATTTATGGGCTGTTGTGGGACATGTTCACCAGATCCGCTGATGTCATAGAGCAATAACACACTGGTTTACTCTGGGAGTCTGCTCTCGCCCCGTCAGGTGACTCACAGAGAGACGGGCGAGGTGATGGTGATGAAGGAACTCATTCGCTTCGACGAGGAGACGCAGATGACCTTCCTCAAAGAGGTGAGCTTCCTCACTCTCAGGACAGATGGAGTGTGTGTGTTTTTCCCAGCAGGCTCCGGGGTTAAACGCTGATCGTCTCTGACGTCATCTAGCGCTCGTTTGACTGAGATTCGTTTATGATCAGCTCCCATAATTCTCTGTTTTAATGACTTTGCTGTACACTTGTGTTTAAAACGAAGGAAACGCGTGTGTTCTCGGTTCATCCGAGGAGAAAACAGCACACACACACACACACACAGCCATCGCCACGGCCCTCACACACTCATAAAAACCGGAATAACATCCGCACCGTCAGCTGTGTGTGACTGGAATGAGTTTATTGTGTACTGGTACTCTTGTTGATTGTAAACATGTGTGTGTGTGTGTGTGTGTGTGTAGGTGAAGGTGATGAGGTGTTTGGACCATCCCAACGTGCTGAAGTTCATCGGCGTCCTTTATAAAGACAAACGGCTCAACTTCATCGCGGAGTACATCAAAGGAGGAACACTGAGAGACATCATCAAGAACATGGTGTGTGTGTGTGTGTGTGTGTGTGTGTGTGTGTGTCACTAGTACTGCACATTAATGGCAAGCGATTGCTTCTAATCTACTGCATTATGGGAGTGTTTGCCGTTCTAGAAAGTAGGGCTGGGTAATAAATATCGATTTCTCGATATTAATCGATTCTCATTTTTAACGAACCGATATCGATTCTTAAATCTCAAGAATCGATTAGTCATCCTGTTTCATTTGTATGAATGAGAGATTGTATCGCGGCTGCGCACATCCAACAAATCGCAATAATCTTTGTCCTTTCTTACTATTGATATGAAACAAAGTCTCAATTTTCAAATTACGTCCATTTTCTTTAGAAATTCAAAAACATAAATAGCGTTTTGGCGCTGTGGCGTGAGATCGCTCTGGAGAAGCAGCAGCGTTGATCTCTCTTCCGGCTTAATAATACCAGTCACAGCGCCAAATAAACATGAATGAGCATCTGAAAGTGTGTTAAAGATCGAGTACAACTTATCGAAATCCGTATCATGTCACATTGATTCGCTCAATCTGCGTTTCAACCGTGGAAAGACGTCAGTTAAACAGCTTGTAATCAATGTCATCGTCATATTTACCTCAGAAAACACACATAAACTTGTTAGTCCACACACTCGTTAGTGTTCTTCAATATTTATGCATATTTGAATAAATATGGCAAGTTTTTATGACAGCCACCGTTTATATTTCATATAATCTTCTTATTATAAAAATAAATAAAAGTGTAATTTAAGTGTTTGTATAGCTACAAAACAGTTAATTATTACCTTCATATTAGGCTAATGAAGCCTATAGGCTACAACTAGACTATATTTATAGACCATAGTTTACAGCATTTAAGAGATTTGATTCCCTTGAGAAAAATTGCCATTTATTGTAACTGATATCCAAAATAATCGATATTGAATCGAATCGTAATCGAAATCGAATCGAATTGCAAGCTTGTGAATCGAAATCGAATCGAATTGTGAAATTTGTCTCAATACCCAGCTCTACTAGAAAGCGCAGCTGTGTCGTATAGACTCCTGAGACAGACTCTGACTATGTGTGTGTATAACACTATAAAGGCGGGCGTACACGGTACGAATTCTGACGGTCGGAAGATCGTATGTCCAGGAGCACTTTACGAGTGAGTTTATCCGAAAATCGTACGGAGGCAGTGATACACGACACGATTTTACGACCCGCTGAATTTCGAAGAAATCGCACGAAGTTCCACGCTAAAAACTCTCATAACTGCATATAAAATATTGATACAAGCCGTGATTATTTTGCCGCGTTTTCAGCACCGGGAAGCGGACGTCCGGTCACACTTGTGTGTGAATGAGTTAAAAAAACGTAGTTATTGTAGGCTACACATTCAAAAATAAAAATTAAAAATTTCAAGCTCTCTGAATGATTAATTAGCCGTTTAAACCACCTCATGACATGTGAGTGTTTGCAATTGATTTTGCTGCGAGGAGCTATCGTCGTGAACGGGGCTTGAGTGAGCTTGAGTGCGTTGTGAATGAGGGCGCGGGTGCCAGATCCACATAACGGAAAGGGGCCAATATCTGGACTTGTTTTTTGGATTAATGTCACACTTTAGGAAGTTATTAAAGTGGTTCGTAATATATTAATCTTATTTTCAAAACACAAGCTTTGAACTTATTTCAGATTTTTATATAATTTCTTTGTTTTTGTTCGTTTTCGTAGCAATATCTGGCAACATTGTTATGTCAGCATTGATATAAAAAAAGCTTAGGCTGTAGACAAACTGTTATTGCTTTTAGGAAGATACAAACGTAATGATCGTGTTAGAATCTGTAAGAAATGCATAACACTATCAAAAACAATAGCATAATAGCAGATGTTTCAGAACGAAATATGCCAAATACTGGCCAGTTGGAACACGGCAGATGCGGTTTAGTTAACCTTTCACAGAGTCATCATAAAAACATGAATTGAAGCAGTGTTTGTAGTAGTCCACACCATTTTCGTCTTTCTTCTGTGGATTTCCTCAGCTCCTGATTGGTCAAGTTCGGCTAGATCGACAAATCGGCTCATTCAACCACACACACATCGCGAATGCAAGCCGACAGCTCTTAAAAATGATCTTCCTCGCACACGATACGAGCCGCGACATGCGAGCATAACCGATTTACACGCGACTTGAAAAGTGAAAAAAATCATCTGCGAGCTCGTAAAACAGCAAAAAATCGCACCGTGTGCGCCCGCCTTAACAGTTACAGGACATTTACTGGACAATGTAGAAGAAATGTTTAATTTGGACAAAGATTGCTCAACAGTTAACAGCGTTAATCCAGGAGAAATACAGGAAAAGATACACAAACATGCCAATAAAGAAATATTTAAGAGGAAATAGCCAAAAACGGGAGGAGGACCTCAAGAGAAACTTGAAGACACTGAAACGGTGATGATATATTTGGTGGACAGTCGCCTGTGTTTTCTTTCGGCTGTTTGTAGTGTGAGTGATGGCTGCTGCTGGTTGCCACGGTAACAGTCTTAGACCAGAGTCTAAATTAAGTCAGTCTTGCATTAGACTAGTGTATGGGCAGATGTTAGTCTTGACTAGCTGTGAGAAACCGGCCGCTGGGTGAGCGCCGCCTGCTGTCAGACAGGGGAACTGCGTGAGGATCAGAGTGTGTGTGTGTTCTGTGTGCAGGACGGCAGCTATCCGTGGAATCAGAGAGTGAGTTTTGCCAAGGACATCGCCTCCGGGATGGTGAGTGAGACGCTCATATATTCACAGCGTTTACACTCATATTATGTGAAAGTCTTATTTTTGTTAAAGTACGCCTGTTTAGGAAAACAAACTAAAGTAATATTATTCGACTCCAAAACGGAAATAAACTATAAGTGATCACCTATTCATGTTTTAGTTTATAATACACAGTATATTATGTAATAACATAAAAACATGGGTTAAATGCTGAAAAACCAAATAAATGGAAAGACAAAACCTGACAATAATGATAATAATATAAATGTTTTGGTGAGTAGTCTCGGACCCTGAAGTAGAACGTTTAAAGATATAGTTTTTGCCTGGATTTGCTGAAGCCCCAGTGTGAGAGCGACTCAGACCTCAGATGTTTTGATAAGGTGAAGTGTTTCCAGAACACACACTGTATTGTTTTCAGGTGTCTCGTGTTTCTGCGTGAGTTAGTTGTGAAAGTCTTTAAAGTCAGCCATAGGGTGACCAGTGTGCCGTTTACCATGTCCTCCTCTCACCCAGGCCTACCTGCACTCCATGAACATCATCCATCGAGACCTCAACTCACACAACTGTCTGGTCCGAGAGGTGAGCGCATCAGCAGTGTTCAGTTTGTCTGCATGTTAATAAGCTGTCTATATTGCACTGATTTCGATTGCCGTGTATAACGCTGTAAAGTCCCCCTGTGCTCAATCAGTTTATCCCTTAACCCTCAGGTGCTCTTCGGTCAAAAAATGTTCTGTTTTGAAATGTTTAAAAATCACAGCTTCATTGAAATGTTACGAAACTTGGTGACTTTTATGGCATTGGGTATGTGAACACAAAAAAAAATTGAGGTCATGATCCGAGCATGCTAAGTGGTCGTAAAAAAAATAGTCACACTATTGCTCTTCGGTCAAAAATGACGACCCATAGGAAATGAATGGGAAATTGACAAAAAAATAAAAAATTCTCTGAATTTTTGTTTGTACAATCGACAAATCGGCCACAAATCTAAAAAAAAGTACACCGCAAGAAAGGGGTGATACTCTACAACATCTAGAGTGCAAAACAGACACACCCACCAACACACACACACATACAAACACACTTTTATACACATACACACCAATAAATTACGATTACAAAAAGTATGTTTTGAATTTTTAAAAATCACAGCTTCATCGCAATGTTACGAAACTTGGTGACTTTTATGGCATTATGTATGTGAACACACAAAAAAAGTGAGGCCATGATCTGAGCATGCTAAGTGGTCTTAAAAAAATAGTCACACTTGTGGTCTTTGGTCAAAAATGACCCCCATAGGAAATGAACAGGAAATTGTAAAAAAAAAAAAGAAAAAAAAAATTGTGAATATTTGTTTTTTGTCATTTTTTTTATAAGAAATAGTTTTTGAGATTGTTTCAACTATATATACAAATCCACCAACAACAACAACAAAAAATGTGTTGATAAACAGCTGGGGAATTCACATGCCTCTCCATAGAGAGCTGTACATGCCATCAAGTGGTTACACCATGATTCTACGCTTTTTCTCTATACTGTAACCAGATGGTGCTAATTTTCTTCAAAAAATATTTTTTTTCTGAAGGCCTAGAGTCCTAGACTCTATATTAAACTAAAATACTGCATTAATATTTTTTTGAAAAAAATAATATATATATAGAAAAAATATATATATTTTTCCATGGCAAAAATAAACCATAAATATTGCATAAATATTAATAAATTACATTAAATTGTCTCAAAATAATAAATTAAAAAGTATAAATATTATAGAAAAAAAATAAATTGCATTGGTTTTACTGGGATGGAGAAAGTTTCATTTTTAGGTGTCCGGTCACTTTTGACCGGGAACATAACAAGTGTGATTCCGAAACGAAGAGCACCTGAGGGTTAAAACTCATCTCTGATCACCAAAATGACATATTCTTCATGTATTATAATATCTTGTATGTAATTCGACACCCTCGTCTCATTTAGTATGCTCGGTTCTATGAATATGCAAATGAGTACACAGTAACTACAGTTTCTCTCGAAGCGAATCCTCAATGAAGCTGGACTGTTTGATAATCCAGATGTAGCTGAGGAACTGAAGCCAGTGTAGATCAGCTGATTAGGGCCCGTCTGTCCTCTGTTCATGTGCGATGGCTGATCTGTAAGTGGTTCTCGCTCTGACAGAATAACAGTGTTGTTGTGGCGGACTTCGGGCTGTCCCGGCTCATGGTGGAGGACAAGATCCAGGACAAACTGGTGTCTGGACAGCTCCCGGGGGTCAAGAAGGCTGACCGGAGAAAGAGATACACCGTGGTGGGAAACCCGTACTGGATGGCCCCGGAGATGATCCACGGTGAGGACACACGCTTTTACTGAACCCAGTTTCCTTTATTAATAATGTGTTATTCTGATGATCTTACAAACATGTGGTGTGGTGTTTAGGAGAAATCATGTTTCAGAGGAGTTCACTTTTAAAAAAAAACTTTTGCTGATAATTTACTCACCCCCATGTCATCCAAGATGTCCATGTCTGTCTTTCCTCAGTCGAAAAGAAATGAAGGTTTTTGATGAAAACATTCCAGGATTTTCTCCATATAATGGACTTCAATGGGAACCAAACGGTTCAAGGTCTAAATGAGAGTTTGAGTGCAAACTGTTCAAAGGGCTTTAAACGACTCCAGACGATGAATAAGGGTCTTATCAAGGACCCTTCGAGTTATGACTCGAAAAAAGATTTGTTCATTTTGAACAGGAGAGTCACGAACGCGCGTCACAGAACAGAGCAAGGCGAGCATTTGAGCTTATAAAACTTAAACTTTGTTATTTATTTATTAAATGAGCGATCGTTTCGCTTGATAAGACCCTTATTCATCGTCTGGAATCGTTTAAAGCCCTTTGAACAGTTTGCACTGAAACGCTCATTTGGACCTTGAACCGTTTGGACCCCATTGAAGAAAATCCTGGAATGTTTTCATCAAAAATCTTAATTTCTTTTCGACTGAGGAAAGAAAGACATGGACATCTTGGTTGACATGGGGGTGAGTAAATTATCAGCAAAAGTTTTTTTAAAAGTGAACTACTCCTTTAAATCATGATAACTCTGAATAGCTTTAGCATGTTCATGTCTTGTTTGAGGGTTAGGGATGAAATAGTTTCGAATTTTCAGCGATTAGTGGTACAGTTAAATATTTTAATCATCTTTAACACCGTATTTGATTGCCAGGGTTTGAAAAACTCGCAGTAAATACCGTCAGCAATGTAAGCAACAACAGTTTCAGGCAGACACGACATCAAACATTGGTTTCGTTTTTGTTTGGAAAAATGGCGGGAAGAATTGAATTGAGAGCGGTTTTACAACCTTTAGGCCGTGCGTCCACCAAAGCGTTATTAGCCCGCTGAAAAAACTAGCCGCTCTGCTGAAGACGCTGTGCTTTGGGCGCTCGAGAGCGTATTGGCAGCGCGGCGTTTTTTCCGTTGAGACGTTTCGTTGCTATGATACAGAATATCCGCAGCACAGTTTACTTGAAACTGATTTCGCAGATCATTTGTTTAATACTAAAATAATATTTTTCATTCATGTTGTTGGGTTAGCTCTGCCGGTTGATGTCGTTGTACAGAAAGAATGTTGGTCAGTGACAGTTGGTCATTGTGGTATTAGCCCCGCCCCTCCTCCACTGTGATTGGACAGCTGGGTAAAGAGTGACAGTGATGAGCACTGTGTTTTTCCCAAAGTTGAAAATTTTTCAACTTCCGGCGACTAAAAAATCAGCTTCAGCGATAAAAAAACGCTCAGCGCCTCGTTACGCTCGTGGCGTTTAAAAAATGTGCCGCTCCCATTGAAAACATACGCCAGCCGCGTGGAAAAACGCTTTGGTGGACACACAAGCCCGAGAGTGGAAAAATGTTCAACTTTGGGTAAAACGCAACACTCATCACTGTCACTCTCTTCACTGGGTTTAATGTTCTGCTGTTTGTGTTTCTCAGGAAAGAGCTATGATGAGAAGGTGGACATCTTCTCCTTCGGCATCATGCTGTGCGAGGTGAGTGTTTCAGGACTGATCTGAGGGAATAATCACAGGCTGTTAAAGTCCAAAATAACTGCTTCCTCCACACGAACGGCAGGCATTTCTCTTTTAATGGGAAACACTGTTACCACAAACAGGACAGAGGCCCGTCACCCCGAGGAACCAGTGTGTGGTGTGGGTTTACCTCACTTCCTCTGTCTCACATCAAACTCTGTGCTCTGCCTCAGATTATAGGGCGAGTGAACGCCGACCCCGACTACCTGCCCCGGGCCATGGACTTCGGGCTGAACGTCAAAGGCTTTCTGGACGATTACTGCCCGTCGGACTGTCCGGCATCTTTCTTCCCCGTGGCGGTGCTCTGCTGCGATCTGGACGCGGAGAAGCGGTTAGAGAATACACACACGCGCCACATTGGCACAGAACATAACTATCAGTAACATCCATGATAGCTGCATTCTAGGACATACTAAATGAATCAAAGCAAAGGGTTTGAAACTATCAGCCGCCAAATGCAGGTATACATCAGCTGTGACAGGTAACGTTGTCAGATCATGTGTGTTTGCTCATTATGATTACTCGCTCAGCTGGGGAAGTTCGTTTAAACCAAATCTGTGCAGATTTAATGCAAATATGTCATCATGATATATTAAAAACAGTGTATTGCACAGAATCAGCTCTGCCTGGCTTACTTGAACGCACTCGTCACTACGTTACAAATAACAGCGTTGTTCATTTGCATTGAAGCAATAGTGAAGATTAAAGAGCGTTTGTTGAACAGAAAATAGATTAATATTTTCCAACATCCTAAAAAAAATTTATGTTTTTTATGCTGCATTGGTCTGTCTATCTAAAACACATTTCTGGTGATGAGGATGAAAGAGGAAGAGAGGAGATGCTGGATTACAGGATTTAGTTTGAATAAGAATTGAATGTATGAAATCCAAATTGTATAATATATATATATTAGGGCTGTCAGTTAAACGCGTTATTGACAGGGTTAGCGCAAACCCATTTTAACGGCATCAATTTTTTTATTGTACGATTAACGTTTTTTTTGGCCTAGCAAACTTTGTAGTTTTCTTTCACATGCTTTTTCAATAGGATGCGGCATCCATTCATTTCAATGGCTTGTGCCGCGCGAGGACGTTTTGTTGCTTCGTCGACCAAAGCGCAAGCGGATCTAGCTAGACCTGAAACAAAACAACAGACACGCCGCCGCATACACTCGTTTGGGCTTGTGAGCCGCCGAATAGTTGGTTAACGTTACGTTATGAGTGGATGATGAGCGCGAGACGCCAAAATGGATGCCAATAAGATTCTGAATGGAAAGTTTACTTTTAAAAAATTGCCAAATCGTTCCAGCGACAAGACCAAAGTGATCTGTGTGTTTTGTCGTTGTAAACTGACATCATCGCAGCACGTCCAGTCTGAAACATCACTTGATGATGGCCAAGCACACACACACACACACACACACACACACAGCTGATGCGACCTCTCCACCCCCTCGTCAATATCAGGACCTCGTCAGTATTTTATTGATGGATAGTGTTACATTGTGTGAGAGATTATTTGCTCCGAGTGAGAATGATAGTGTGAATTTGAACACAGTATATGCCAATGTTGATTTCAATTAAAAACATTTGCAGAAAGCAAGCCGATCCACTTTTCCATGTCATCAAAAATAATGGGACAAAAAGAAATTAAGAGACATTTAGAATAGATAAAAATATGCGATTAATCGCGAGTTAACTATGACATTAATGTGATTAATCGCGAGTTAACTATGACATTAATGCGATTAATCGCGAGTTAACTGACATTAACGCGATTAATCGCGAGTTAACTGACATTAATGCGATTAATCGCGAGTTAACTATGACATCAATGCGATTAATCGCGAGTTAACTATGACATTAATGCGATTAATCACGAGTTAACTATGTCATTAATGTGATTAATCGTGAGTTAACTATGACATTAATGCAATTAATCGCGAGTTAACTATGTCATTAATGTGATTAATCGTGAGTTAACTATGACATTAATGCGATTAATCGCGAGTTAACTGACATTAACGCGATTAATCGCGAGTTAACTGACATTAATGCGATTAATCGCGAGTTAACTATGACATCAATGCGATTAATCGCGAGTTAACTATGACATTAATGCGATTAATCGCGAGTTAACTATGACATTAATGCGATTAATCACGAGTTAACTATGTCATTAATGTGATAAATCGTGAGTTAACTATGACATTAATGCAATTAATCGCGAGTTAACTATGTCATTAATGTGATTAATCGTGAGTTAACTATGACATTAATGCGATTAATCGCGAGTTAACTATGACATTAATGCGATTAATCGCGAGTTAACTATGACATTAATGCGATTAATCGCGAGTTAACTATGATATTAATGCGATTAATCGAGAGTTAACAATGACATTAATGCGATTAATCGTGAGTTAACTATGACATCAATGCGATTAATCGCGAGTTAACTATGACATTAATGCGATTAATCGCCAGTTAACTATGACATTAATGCGATTAATCGCATGAATCGATCATTTGACACCACTAATATATATATGTATATGTATATATATACATATATATATATATTCAAGCTGTGATGTATTGTAGATAATCTGGTTTATTTCTTTCTTTTTTGGCAAGTAGAAGTTCTGAATGGCCAGTAACTTAAAAATGTTATAGCAAAATTGGCCAGCGAGTTAAAAAAAAGTTAGTTTCAAACCCTGAATATTGCTGTAATGATATTATAGATATGACTCTTTGTTTACTGGAACTAGAAGTCCAGCAAGACCAGCACTGATTGTGTGCCTGTGATAATGGTTGTGCTCGTCCCGCAGGCCTGCGTTTGTGAAGCTGGAGTCGTGGCTGGAGAACCTGAAGATGCATCTGGAGATTGGCCTGCACCTGGTGTCCGAGCTCGAGCTCATCCATCAAGACTTCCGGCAGAAACACTCGAGCGGGAAGAACGGGCTGCACACACACCCGGAGCAGCCCGAGTGACGCGGATCCTCTCGCTGAGCAGATCTGCTGGAGGACGCTCCTCACCGGACGTCTGCGCCCGTGGCCGGTGGGCCTATGACTCCTGCAACATAATAACGCCCCGCCACTGAAAGGCTTCGGTCTGGACGGACGGCTTGAAAACGTCACCTCACAAGCACAGCTCCATCAGCCGTAATGCATGTCTGTTGTGGCTTATAGTGATGTTCACGTCTCTTCCAGATGACGCCAGTAGCCGAGGTCTTCGTTCTTAAGTACTGAGACCTGAACCGACCCCGGCACATCTTCCTCGTCAGCGTCCTGTCCTCGTGTTCGTCTTCACACGTCAAGCTTCACTAATATCCCTCATGTTACATCATAGTACGTATTGTAAATGTTTGACATTATTTTATATACTTATTTTGCATTGGCGTACTTTTCACTTGAGCACCAGGAAAATAATCAACTTCAGAGTGGATTCCTGTCCGTGTCATGAACACATAAAACCATGATGCTTCTGTGTCCCAGTTCAGCCCTATGGGTCAGGTCGACTCATTTACTGTCCTCTTTTACCCCAAAATCCCCCCCTAAAAAAATGATTAACTTTGGATAAACTTAGCTAAAGATTATTTAACTCTTTCCCCGCGAGCCGGCGCCAGCATTTTTGATCATTTTCAGACCTCCAGAATATATTATTGTATGGTGATCTGAACATGCAGTATATCAAAAGAAAGAACAGACCCTCATTTGAATGTGGGTAAGTTTCATAAAAAAGCAACACAGCTGCGAAAAACCGCCCTGTAGCTCGTCCTGGGACAGTTCATTCAGTAACATTACGCCGTTTTGTTTGTTTTGATTTATTTGCTTGTTCCTGCATGCCGCCTGTGTTTTGATGCGGAGATTCAGTGTTGTTCAGGAGATGTGTAATAGCGCCCCCTACAGTATAATGGTGCATTCACACTAGACACAAATAGAGCGTCTGGCGCGAGTGATTTCAATGTTAAGTCAATGTCAAATTCAAGTTCAGTGAAATCTGAACTTTGGCATCAATTCGTGCCGCGTTAACCAATCAGGAGCCTGCTGCTTGCTCATGTGGTGAAGGATCTGGATGCTTCAATAAATTATTTTGTAATATGACTAAATGCCTGGTGTGGCTCTAATGCACAACAAAGCAAATATTTTAATCACTTAAAACCTTATTTCAATATACGACACATGTTCATTTTGTATTGAATGTTATTTATTCCATATCTAGATTATATGAATATTATTATGATGTAAAGACAACCAACATACATGTGCATAAGTTCGTGTCTTATTAAATTACGATGATCCCCACGCCGCTGTTCTGCTCTCCAGAGTAAATACAGTGCGGTGACTCTCTCGATGAATGCTCAAATAACATAAAAAAAGATGGCCGCCAAGGGGTTTCGATTCTGACGCGAGTAAATTTCGCTTCAAACTTTTGTTTGTTTTTTTCGCTCTTGACGCGCGAATGGATTCAAAGTGTTCAAGCGTATAACTAGACGTGGTAGGCACGAATTTGACGCGCTATTCACGTCTGGTGTGAACGCAAGTAACAGTGAAACACGGAAAGCCAGAAAATTCTGCCAATGGAGGGGAAAGAGTTCAATTGTAAAGTAAATGAACATCATGTTAGTATTATGTGGATTTAATTATAAAATATGACAAATCTTCCCAGGGATCTTTTGCTAGATGGATTTTGGGGTGAAAGATTTCCTCGTCACTATGGGTTGAGTTGATTCCCAGCGCCTGATCTTAGACCCTCACGCGGGACGGTGGGTTTTGTGTTTGTAAATATCTTCTAGAAGCGCTTCCCTCCATGTCTCCTCCTCCGTCCATCACGCTGAGCAAAGGATTGCCAGGAAAGCACGTGTACAGACTGAAAAAAAGAAAAACACAGCCTCTCTCTTTGAATTGAACCACTATTTTCTCTTTTCTGAAATGTTTTAATGATTTCATTTGCACTATGGAAGACTGCCGCTCGAGCCTTTTGGTTTCTGTGGGTTGTTTGGCTGGTGATTGTATGAATGCACGTCACTGATGGAGGCTTTGTGTCGTTTGGCCCCTGATGCCGCGGCTCCTGAGCAGCACGTGTGTAACGGACTCGGAGAACATGTGACCTGTGAGTTTTTCAATCACAGGCCGCCGCTGGAGTCAACATGAAGCAGCATCAGCACCTGGCTTTAACCCGGATCAGGATCGGTACGACAGTCTAGCTCTCGCCCTAACTAAACAGTCCTGAGCCAGCTAATCATGGTCTTCAGGGTCACCAGAAGCAGAACATCGCCCCCTGTACCCTCATTCACTGTTCCCTGCTTTACTCCACTAATGTAGTCCAGGTGAAGGCCGAGTGAGCGTATTCGGACACTCGGGCAGGGCTGCACATTTTTGCATGGTTTGTGCTGTTTAGTAATCATGTGAAATTGAGCAAACTAGAAAAAGATTGATCTCGCAAACGTCAACCGCTCAAACAGTGTTTAAGGGTACAGAAGGCGATTTCAGACACAGCCGTGGTCTTATTAATCGGAGATATTAGGCTGTACGATTTGAGAAAGCGTAACGGACAGCTTGGATCACGTGTACCTTGAAAACCAATCACAGCATTGACATCATTCATTTGTGTGACAGTGGCCGCGTTTCCTTTACAGAAGCGCGAAACTTTAGCGATATTTTATAAATGTCGATAAAAAACTATTGCGAAATGAAGGTGTTTCTATTATGCGACTAAAACAATTTTTCCTGATTCAGTCTTTTATGAGTTTAATGAAGAACTCTGTCTCGTCTTCTGTCCAAACGCACCGCGTCGTCTTTAACGAGCGATCACCTGTTGCGTACGTCAGGTGACCTGTAGATGCGAAAACTGTTACCTTTGCAGTTTTGCGAAATATTATTTTTCGCGAATTCCCTGAAAAACACCTCATGCGAGCGTTAACTTTTTTTGCGATATGTGGGAATTTTTGCAGGATTGACGTGTTTCCATTGGCCGTATTTTCAATTCGCAATTTCAATTTGAGAAATTTGAAGGTTAATGGAAAAGCGGCTAGTCAATCAGTGTTTGCGGATACCATAGAAATAATAGAGAAGTGCTGTGATCTGAATCGTACCCTCACAGAACAGCGTTTCATCAGTCTGAAGATAGATCAATCCAAAAATAATGTTTACATAATGCCGTCGATTCATTAAATGATAAGCTATTTCCTCATGAAAGCAGCGTACTGTAAATCCAATAAATAAATAAATATCGAGTTATTACATGATGACAAAGAAAAGCTCTGTTCTTTGAATTTACATTTTGATTTCATGTTGACTTAAAGCCCTGATACTATCAGTATTGCCACTAATAAGAAGCCATATTGCTCTGTAAGCCATTTTACTGAATTGATATTGAGTCCGTTACTTCTGTAAGCACCCGATGCTGCTGGATTTGGTGTTTGCGAGGTTTCCGACTGCAGTCCTGTAGCAGGACACGAGCACTTGGTCATGCAGTCCAGCTTGTAACGCTTCTAGAAGTCCAGCTCAGGTGGCATCAGGAGTGAAGCGACACTTCAGCTTCCGGCAGGACGGGAGCCGATGCTGCGGAGACCATGCTTTACCTCTCCACATCGCTGTGCCTTTATTTTACGCTAGCCTTGCCAACGACTGTGTTGATGAGTTTGTGTCATCGCTCGTCTGTCTCCTTTTGTTTTCCAGATAATATTTATATTTTCCATGATTTCTTTGTCCAGATTATGGTTTAATGTACTGTTTTTACTGAAGCTGTGAACATGACTCTGCACTTTAAACGTTGAAGGAGACAGAATAAACTGCCGCTCCTGACGTCACGTCTCTCGACTCCTCATTGCTGCCGTGTTCAGGTGTGTCACGCTCCATTCCTGACGTGCCGGCTGTAACCGCTTTCACACAATGCTTTTCTATTCACGGTTAGGTGTTGAGTGTGTGACTTTGTGAACATGATGACTCACAGGACGGATGAATACACTGACGGTTCAACATGTCATCCAGTCGTGTGCAGAGCCTGACAGACGACTAAAGCCTCAAGGCCTTTTTTACACCTGTAGTAATGGGTTTTTGTCAATGACGCTAAACACAGGTTGTAAACCGGGGTGTAATACATTTTGAGCTCGTCCACTTTCTCCACTTGCAGAGGTAGTCTTAAAGGCATTCAACCGGATTGCTTTAATAGTGTAAACGCTCGTGTGGCCCACAAAAGGCCGTCTGCTGACCTGATGCGGGAACATTATGGGATGGCCCTAGCCGGACGAGATTTAAAGAGCCACGTTTGGTTTGAAGACGGAAAAAGCAATGTTATCTCACCGTTCCTGATTTCTAACACACGCTGCCGTCAGAGCAGAGACGAAAGCTGCTGCTCTCGGTGTTTTTCTGTCGTCTCTGGGTGCATTCATATAGAAATTGTGCAAGCTTATTTTATCCATGAGAGAGAAAGATCTGAAAAAAATGTGTATTTACCCGCTCATAGACCCTCCCCTTGAAGAAATCAGGACAGAAGTGGTCGAAAGTGGGCAAAAGAACAATCCTGTGGTGAAAAATCAAGCTTTTAATATTGTTTAAATTAATATGTGTTAAGACAAACCATGTGTAAGTTGATAAGTGGACAGCATTGCTGAGTATTTCCTCCTTAAAACTCCAGCGAACCAAAGACAGTCTGAAACACACGGTTTGAAACCGCTGTAACCAATCAGATCAATGTGTGATCGTCTACCAGTGGATCTCTGAGTGAGTGAGTGAGTGGAGGCGGGGCTCATTTGCATATTCATAGAACCGCAAATACTAAATGAGGCAAGGGTGTCGAGTTACGTTCAATATATTTTTTTGAAGGCATGAAAACATTTTTTTCCAAGGCAAAAACATTTAAATATGTAATTTTCGGGATCAGAGATGAGTTTTAAAGGATACAATTATTGACTACAGGAGTACTTTAGCCTATAAACAGGGTCTACATTTGCATAACAAACAGCCTGATTATTAGGAAAATGGCTATGAAAGGCTAAATTATAGCTAGTTTTTTTTGTAATATTATATTTCTCACAGACGTAAACAACACCTGGTATCACAGGAAAAAGATGATATATGAAAGCTGTTGTTTTTATTTGCTGACTTTATTTTTTTTTATTGCATAACAAGAACAATATACAACATACACATACAGAGGATCATAGTGTATTATTATCTATTAAATTTATTACATTACATTAAAGGAATATAATATATAATGTAATGTTTAAGCTGTAATGTTTATATTGTTTTACAATATAATGTTTAAGTTCAATTTTAAATAATATAATGTTAGGTTTATTATTTGTCCATTTCTGTTTGTGAATGTGGTATTTTCCATACATAATTATTAAGTTAACCACCAAATTTTGCTCCAAACTCTTATATTTGTATAACAATATATATATATATATATATATATATATATATGAAGAGTTCAGATGCAAAAGCCTCTAAAAGCCATTTGAAATTTTCTTCTTTAATGATGATTTTTATCAAACTTGTATATTTAAGTTCAGTAATTTCACTTAAATAACAATTAATAGGTAATTATCATTGCCATTTAAGTGAAATTACTGAACTTAAATATACAAGTTTGATAAAAATCATCATTAAAGAAGAAAATTTCAAATGGCTTTTGCATCTGAACTCTTCATATATACACTCACAGGCCACTTTATTAGGTACCCCATGCTAGTAACGGGTTGGACCCCCTTTTGCCTTCAGAACTGCCTCAATTCTTCGTGGCATAGATTCAACAAGGTGCTGGAAGCATTCCTCAGGGAGTTTGGTCCATATTGACATGATGGCATCACACAGTTGCCGCAGATTTGTCGGCTGCACATCCATGATGCGAATCTCCCGTTCCACCACATCCCAAAGATGCTCTATTGGATTGAGATCTGGTGACTGTGGAGGCCATTTGAGTACAGCGAACTCATTGTCATGTTCAAGAAACCAGTCTGAGATGATTCCAGCTTTATGACATGGCGCATTATCCTGCTGAAAGTAGCCATCAGAAGTTGGGTACATTGTGGTCATAAAGGGATGGACATGGTCAGCAACAATACTCAGGTAGGCTGTGGCGTTGCAGCGATGCTCAATTGGTTCCAAGGGGCCCAAAGAGTGCCAAGAAAATATTCCCCACACCATGACACCACCACCACCAGCCTGAACCGTTGATACAAGGCAGGATGGATCCATGCTTTCATGTTGTAGACGCCAAATCCTGACCCTACCATCCGAATGTCGCAGCAGAAATCGAGACTCATCAGACCAGGCAACGTTTTTCCAATCTTCTATTGTCCAATTTCGATGAGCTTGTGCAAATTGTAGCCTCAGTTTCCTGTTCTTAGCTGAAAGGAGTGGCACCCGGTGTGGTCTTCTGCTGCTGTAGCCCATCTGCCTCAAAGTTCGACGTACTGTGCGTTCAGAGATGCTCTTCTGCCCACCTTGGTTGTAACGGGTGGTTATTTGAGTCACTGTTGCCCTTCTATCAGCTCGAACCAGTCTGGCCATTCTCCTCTGACCTCTGGCATCAACAAGGCATTTCCGCCCACAGAACTGCCGCTCACTGGATGTTTTTTCTTTTTCGGACCATTCTCTGTAAACCCTAGAGATGGTTGTGCGTGAAAATCCCAGTAGATTAGCAGTTTCTGAAATACTCAGACCAGCCCTTCTGGCACCAACAATCATGCCACGTTCAAAGTCAAAATCTTCCCCATACTGATGCTCGGTTTGAACTGCAGGAGATTGTCTTGACCATGTCTACATGCCTAAATGCACTGAGTTGCCGCCATGTGATTGGCTGCTTAGAAATTAAGTGTTAACGAGCAGTTGGACAGGTGTACCTAATAAAGTGGCCGGTGAGTGTATATATATATATATATATATATGAAGAGCTCTTTTCCAAAACGCGTTAAACGACATTTTAAAAAAAATGAGTTTGTCGTGTCATTCTGCTGCGGACAGAACCCTTTCACTGCTCTATCAACGTTTCATGCCGAATCGCTATATTTCCTTGTTTAAAATGTACTGCAAGATACAGTTTCTTCCCAAGCCGCGATAAGCACCAGCCCTGTTTTTAGCCTAAACACGATAAATCCTCAAATTCAATGAGCGCTCTACACAATCCAGCACGGCGGCACTCTGAACAGAGGTTTATTATGTTCATTCATTCCTCAAAATGAGTCCTAGTTTTCTAGTCGACTAGTAGTAGATCATTTAAGCCATTTGTATTATCAGTAATCACATATATTGATTTAATTAAATGGGAGAGAAACCATATGAGCGTTTTTAATGGCATATTCCGCATCTCAACGTATAAAGCTTGCCACAAAGAACCGGCAAAAGTAATGATTATGCATGAAACATTTGAATTGTTTATTAATAAACTAGTGTTTTCTGTCAGTGTCAGGAACAAAGATAAAGTTGATGATGCTTACTCGCCATCTTCGCAGTGAACGCGCATAGAGAAACGCATACTTCGAATTAGCCTATACATACGCAGAGAGTTGCCAATTTATTTTAGTTTTTAATTGTTTTGTTTAAAAGTAGATATTTAAAGCTTTCTGTAGCTTAGTTCTCAGGCCTGTGTGAGGCAAGCATCGCGGTGTTTCGGTTCATATTATGAGACGCGCTCCGGTTCACCTGCGCGCCTCTGTGTCCTGATTATATTGTCTGATATTTACTTCTAATGTATTAATCCAGTCAATTTGTCGATAAAACGTTTATTAAAATGAAGATACAATTTATATGAAACGAAATTTACAAGCTTTCTACAAAACAAAACTTAATAAGTGGTCAAAATCATGTCTGAAGCACTCCAAATATTTTCCGATATTGGGCAGCTTTTGAATTTTGATCCTATCTTACTCATCTCATGCGGTTCCCTTTTCATAGCCTACTCAACATAGATGAAATAATAAAAATAAATAATGTAATATTATTAAAAACAAATGTGAAATGTTTATTTTTTTTGTTGTTTTTTTTTTACTTATATTTAAGCGTCATGCTGCTCCGCTTTGCTCACATGTTATGTAGCCTGTGTGTGTGTGTGCATGTGCTGGAGGGGGGCCCATCCCTTTTTTGAATATCGTTATCATATATTGATCATTTTTAATAATTCGTTTTTTCATGCATATGTTGAAATTGGTATTAATAATTTGTTTTTTTTTCATGCATATGTTGAAATTGGTACTATTTGTTTGAGGTTTATTTCGATTTATAGCGTTTTGGAAAAAAATAAAATTAACTTTTAAATTATCATTAACAATATTGTTGTTTGATTTAATAATTATTGTTCAAAATGTTCAGACTGAACCAATAAAACATTTAAACAGGATAATTTGAATATTCACAAAATGTGTGGGTCTAGGTAAAAAATGTAGTTTTCCTGAAAACTATTGAAATGGATTTATAGCGTTTTGGAAAAGAGCTCTTCATATATATATATATATGGGGATAGAGGATACATTGCCTGATAAAAGTTGAATAAGGCCATTAAGAATGGCATCAAATACTGCAAACTCTTTAGCAGTTACAGGGATATTGTAATAAATTCACAGTAATTAAAAAAGATGTCCATTATTCTTAAAAAACTGTCTGACGGAAATTAGATCGTTTCTATAAAATAAAGATGTATTTTTAAACGTGATATACATGTTGTTCCAAATCGAAGATTTGTGTGGATTTATTTACATCAACAATTACACCTCAAAAAAAGTTCCAAACCCCCCAGTTCATCAAAAATTAACTCGAAGATGATATTCCAAAATTTGCCTTTAGAGTTCTTTAGTGTAGTTCTTTATCCAATTATTCTTAAATACACAATTAGCAGTATTAAAGTCAAGTACATTTAGACCACCATACTCAATTGGATTCCATAAAACTGTTTTTTTTTTTTAATAATGTGGTCTGTTCTTCCAAATAAAATTGAACAAAGTAGTATTAGTAAATTAGTAATTAAAATAGAAAGTTTTGATAATAATATTCTTTCTTTTTATTGAAAGATTGTTTAATTTTCCTAATAATTGGTGTGAAATTCTAATTATTTCTCTCTCTCTTTTTTTTAATACCTAAATAATCTACTTTCACCTTTACTGGAATACCAAGCATGTTATTACGATTACATGTTGGCTCGCCCATGTGCGATTGTTTTGATGGTGCGCGTGACGTCGGCAGGGCAGGCGGAGCGTGACGTCAGGGCGCGAGGAGCCGCATTTAAAGCGCTCAGGGACGCGATGATGATGCAGTGAGTCGCTCGCGCTGCACAAACTCTCGCGCTGGATTCCTCATAACACTCAGGAGTATCTAGGAAGACGTTTTCTGAACGATGGAGAACTCGACTGTCAGCAGCCGGTTGAGGACTGTGCTCTTCAGCCACGGTGAGTGGCGACATGCGCGACCAAACGCCTTTCTGTCATATTATTAAACTCGTTAGTGCATCGCATTCCTGCGGGGCTCTCTATTCTCACTATCTAACACTGCGCATGTGTATAGACACATGCAGAGACTGCGCTGAGGCTCGTGTCTGTGTAAACAGATGCTCTAATGCAGAGACGACTCTTCACAATTAACTATGAACCCAATTATTATGCGTGATTGTTACCGAGAGAAGTCGAAACTCGAGAAGCATTGGAGCGCAACTCATGCATTATAAAGAAGCAAGTGTTTGCATTGGGTCATGCACTGTAAACATCGATGTAAACAACTAATTCCAATTTAAACTACATTAAACTGACTTCAAACAATGTTAAGTCGTGTATAACGTATATTTAAAAAGTTCAAAAAAGCAATGTAAAAACATATGTTGTCATAAAATATAATGCGTTTACATTGCGTTTTGCTTTCTTTCTGCTTTGAGCTAACCAGCTCAGTTGAGTGTTTAATAATTCATTGCTAGTCTGTGCTCAAACACCTACAGATACATGAAGTCTGTCAGCTGTCAAGTGATGAGAGACCAATAACAGCAGCAGTGACTGCGGTCACAATATTGCAGGGCCTTGACAGTGCTGTTGTGTTTAAATGTAAATATGCAGAGAACCTTTTTTGGGGGACACAATTTCTCCTTCAAGAGCTGTTGACACTTACACTGTCTCAGTGCAACACACACACACTAGCATACTGTAGCAACCAGTCAAAACAATGTCACTACTGCTTAGCAACACCCTAACAACCAGTCAGTGCAACGCCTTCAAAGTTCCAGGCCAGACAAACTTTCATATTTGAGTTGTTTTGATTTAAAAGTGGTTCCCAGTGTGTAGGCTACCCAGTATGAAGCGCTGATGAAGTGTGTTCTTCAGGCGTGAAGTATGAGTTCATTCCCGGACGCATTTCATCCGTCATGCTGCTATTGTGCTTTGACTGCATTACGGGTGACACACCAGTACAGCAGCACCAAGGCGAAGCAGCGCGGGATTATCACTATTACGTCATGATCCTGTGGAGAGAGGAGTGGAAAAGGAAGCCCACTATCTGTTGACCATCTGCACTCATGCTGCTTTAAGCTGCTCACTTCAGATCTGAGAACGTGTCCCACTGCTACTGTACTATCAAAATACAGCCAGCCCATCACATCTGAGTGCCTGATCACTGCCACACTGTCTCTGCTAGTCATGCATTCATCTACAGTGCACTGTGTGTTTATTGACCTCAGTATCCCACAGTGCAATGCATTTATCTATCTGTGTGAATGTCTATATGCTAGTTTGACAGCAGTGGGAGTGCATGGCAGAGTTCATCATTCTGAACACACTAATGCAGGTCAAGTGCTGCTTATAGGAGTCAAACTCAACTTGCAGTCTTGTGAAACTGAGGCCATGAGCCCTATTTTAAGGATCTAAGCACATGATATAAAGTGCACTTAGTTTGTGTCTAAATCTACTTTTGATAGTTTAAAGTCCCCATGAAATCAAAATCGACCATACTTACTTTGTTTGCCTAAATTGATCGTTTTGTGGTGAACAATTCATACATGCAAGTCAATCCACACAAAAAATTTTTTTGGCTTTGTAAACTTTAATCAAATTTTGAAAATGCCCCTCCCCTCTGCATTGGAGGACCTTGCCCGATGACGTGGGCATTACGGCTTGGGTGTCTCCCTAACGTCCATAACCACGCCCCTCCAATTGACAGCTGCTGTGTGTTTGCGAGCGCTGAGCGAGCATTGATTGACAGCGTTTCATTTCAGAGTGAAACGCCCATTTTTCTAGATCCAATCAGGTGCTAGTTGGAAAAAAAGCCACGCCCACTATTTTGCCTCATTTAGTATACCGTTTCTTTCGGAAATACGTCACAACACTGGAGAAAAGTCGTTTCGAACTTCCGGTTCAGGGGGACTTTAACAACGGGAAAACTTGTCGATGTGCGCGGTGCGTGGTCCAAAAGGGTAGTCCCTATTCTCTTAACGAGTAATGGGTGTGTTTTAAAAGCCGGTTGCGCTGCAGCCATGGCGGATTCGCTATTTACATGGCGGAATTTGCTCATAAGCAGACCATCTACGGGACAAAGTGTAGTTGTGGACCCGCCTATTGGCGCACATTACTAACGCACTCTTTAAAAGGTAATTTCACTGGTGGAGACATGAATATGTATTGAAAGTGGGTCATATATGTAGTAGAATAGTATCATAAATGTCTAATTTGGGCCCTTCTTAGCCGATAAAAGGCAGAAAATGACTTTTTAGTGCTTGTGAATTGTAGACAACAATCCCCATAGTGCATTGCAATGCTCAGCTCCGCAGGCCACTCCCACTACTCCGCCCATCACTGTAGACTAGAGCTGAGCTCCACTCCTGGAAATCATTTCGCACAATGAAATCCGATAATGCGCGCTAATATAATATGGCGACGTAAGAGCGTCCAGGCGGCGCCCGTGCTATCAGCCAATGGATAGCTGTGATTCTATACGGGCTTCAGACAATCGGCACACTTACTCTGACGCGTAATTTTACACGAGAAATGCAGCCAAACCTTGGAGCGTTTTGTCTTCGGCATCTTCATTAAACCCCTCGCGATCAGACGTCCCAGGAGTCTCCCGCGTATTGATAACGGCTCCCTGATGTCCACAAATTAGTTAAAATCTTACGAATCTAGAGCGAGTGAGCAAGTACCTTCGCAATCAAATGCAACGCATTAGGCCCAACCCCCTATGGGCGGGTTTGATCTAGTGCTTGTACTGAATCCCCTCCTCTTACACTTCCTCCTACAATGACGTAAAATGCCGATTCTTGCGTCATTGTAGGAGGAAGTGAAAAAGGTAAATAGCAGATTTCTCTCGTCTCAGGGGAAAATGAGAAAGTGTTGCACGACCATTCAATAGTATAACTGGGTTTCTAACAATGGAAATCTTAATGAATGGAGTGTCCCTTTAAATAGCAAAAAAAATATTGCGCCATTGACCTTAGACCAGATTTCAGTTGGTCAACGGCTCAGTGTATTTCAGTTGCCTCAATATAGCAACGCACCAACAATGCGCCTGAACACACCTGGTTTTCAAACCAAGAGCCCATGGGCGCACAAATGGGCGCAAATGCATTTGATATTTGCAACATGACATCATTTTTTGCGTAAACATATACGCCACTTTCGAGTCAGGTGGCGTGTTCTCTCCACGCATTGTGAGGTATCCGCGTGTTTGCGTATATGTCTACGCCATTAACGTCCGCGTCATTCCGCGTGTCTGAACACGCAGTCAAATCTCTAGTCATAAATGCCATTAACCCCAGTGACGGTTAGGTTTAGGGATGGGGTTGAGGTAAGTCATATCTTTTTTTTACCTAGGATGGTAAGGGAACAGTTACAAATGCCATTAACCCCAGTGACGGTTAAATTTAGGGACGGGGTTGAGGTAAGTCATATATTTATATAACGTTAAGTCAACGGCGTTCATAAACACGCTGAAAGGCGATTATGCGTCTTGATAGCACGCCAAAAATGGAAATACGAATTGGCGTGTCATACACACGCTACTTCATGAGATCAGTCTGATATTTGAGTAATGTGGCGCATCACGTAAAAATGAAAACCGCGTCAGGCTGAACAAAGCAAAAAACACTTGTGTCGTGCCTGGCGCTGCATTGCAACGTGTCCATGATAGCGCCTCATGTCTAATACACTAAACCTGACCAGCAGTTAACCAATACACTTGTGATGCCACTAGTTCCTCCTCCAGGAAAACAACAGTGCGGTTCCTCTGTGAAGTGCAGCTGAAACAACAGTCTGCGGTCAGATGCCAGATCGGTTAGAGGATCTGCGGCAAGCATTCCTCGGCGAGTGTTTGGCAGACAGCGCTTGGAAAACACGGCTCTGCTTAGATTTGAGTCAGTGAGCTGCAGAAATACAGAAACGCGGGAAACGGTTGAGCGAGAGGCGGATATAAGCGCTCTGGCTGGATTTGGCAGGAGCGGGGGACACTGGAATGCCATTAGAGAACTGCAAAACTGACGTAGAGCAATAATGAGCAGCACGTCTGAAATACTCATCATCTGACTCTGGATTCATAACAGCACACTGCCTACAAATACTGTATGAGAACTATAAAGGAACTGTATATGAACACGTCACAGTGTTCCTCATTTTAATAATCCATACGTAGAATAAAGGGACTGGACTGGTTGAGTTATTTGGTGGTGTGTTGTCGCTCTACTCAAGAGATGCTGGTTTTCCACCCTCAATCTAAACCCTCTTATTCGGCCTTCCTGAGGCATACGACTTAGGAAACAGCGGCTAAAATGTATTCTTAACACTTTTGTTGTGTTTTCACCATTTTTCTCACGAATGCTTTCTGAAATATGCAGGTCGGATGTTATAAATGACTCAGTTAAGTCGTGCTTGTGTTGGTGATTCGGGTCGATCAGCTTTTTCTTCTTGGCTGTCATTACTCTGATACAGCAAAACTGACCCCATGTTTAAAGCGCCTCGTACTCAACGGTTATGCTAAGGGTCTTACATTACACACACACACACGCTCTAAGGCCGTGTGTCCACCAAAGCATTTTTCCACGTGCCTGGCGTATGTTTTCAATGGGAGCACCTCGTTTTTTAAACGACATGAGCGTAATGAGGCGCTGAGCGTTTTTACTGGTTGCCAAGAGTTGAAGAATGTTCAACTTTGGGTAAAACGCAGTGTTCATCATTGTCACTTTTTACCCAGCCGTCCAATCACAGTGGAGGAGGGGCGGGGCTAATACCACACCTACCAACTGTCACAACATTCTTTCTGTACAACGACATCAACCGGCAGAGCTAACCCAACAACATGGATGAAAAAAATACATTTTAGTATGAAACAAATGATCTGCGAAATCAGTTTCAATTAAACTGTGCTGCGGATATTCTGTATCATAGCAACGACACGTCTCAACGGAAAAAACGCTGCGCTGCCAAAACGCTCTCAAGCGCCCAAAGCACAGCGTCTTCAGCAGAGCGGCTAACGTTTTCAGCGGGTTAAAAACACTTTGGTGGACATATGGCCTGAGCGCTAAACCAATCCCAGCAGACTGGGGCCAGCCGTCCAATCACAGCAGACTGGGGCCAGCTGACCAATCACAGCACTTTGAGAAACTAAAACTGAGCGTTCAGACAGAGGGAGAAAACGGGTGCTGCAACAATGTAAATTATAAGAAAATGAGAGTTTTTTTTCCCCCTTAAATTATGTAAACGTATTCTAGACCCTATAAACAAAATTATGAACTGTTAAATAAACATAATACGACCTTTTGAAACTTTATTTCATTTTTGGTTGGGCTTTATTTCATAGTACTTGCATTGTGTACTTACGGCGACCTTGGGCTTTAAAGGTAATTTACCATGGATTGTGGTTAGATTCAGGGTTAGTTCCTAGTTATTACACAGTTATTGTTGCATTATGTTCAGAACAGGACTGCGGAAGCACTTTTCTGTTCAAAAGTGTAATCTGAGCTGTAAAGTGCCTGCAAACGCTTTTCTCTTTGACTTGCCAGTGTTGTTTGATTAAAAGTCCCTAATCTGCCTAAATAAGAGTCCATGTGGTCCTGTAAAGGACTGTCTATACCCTGCAGAAGAGCATGTGTTGTCCATGTGCTCTCCAGACATCGAGCTTTAACCAATAAAAGACCGCTTGCATTAGGTGTTTTATGGCATGGCCTGGTCACCTGACTCTTACATATGTAGAAACACACAATCACTGGTGCAGTTTTGCCTCTGTTGTGTCTAATATCACACCACAGCTAACATTTGCTTCATTATGGAGTTCAGTGTGATTTTGGCCATTCTTTTGCAGGTGTGTTCATGTGTGTGTACAGGTTTATGCAGGAGGTGTCTTGCTGAAATATAAGTGTGTTAATCTGTGTGTTCTGCTCTCTTTCTCTCTGGGTTTGTTGTGCTGTTGAATCCGTCGTCCCGGTTGAATCCTTCTCTTCAGTGGATGATGAGGTAAGCCAGCGTTCACATGATGAGAGTTTAATGGGACACATCTGTCTCACTTTCATTATACCACTCGCACCGAACTGCTTACTGCATATTACTGGGCTTTTTTAAGATGGCAATGATGTACAGTAACTCAAAATGCGAATGAACCTTTCTCTGAAACACCCACGCTACCTCTATTCAAACAGCGGGATCAGTTAATTGAGGTTGAGTGCATTATGGGATTCATTGTGCAGGTCATCCACGCTGTATGATAGTATGCTATGAATCATGGGATGGTCATGTTGTTTCTCATTCCTGCCGTTGCTCAAGAAAGGGTTTGGTCACTGGTTTCACCAAGCCCAGTTTTTCTTGTTCCGAAAGATTCCTCTGGAATGAGAGAGAGAGATGCCAGGTCACTGTTTGCTCTGACATTTAACACGAGCATTCAATACGGGATCGTGTAGAGAAGATGCTGAATGGGTTTTCAGGCCTTCTGTCGGGTTTCCCAGCATGCTCTTGGTGAGTGAGCGTCATGTGGCGCTGCAGCTGTGTTTGAGTGTGTTGAGTGGTGGCCAAACAGAGCAGCAAACAGTGTGTAGTTGTCAAGAGCATCTTGTTTATTTTGCGTGCATTCAATGCCAGCGTGTTATAATGTGTCGTTTGGGAAGAAGGTGCTGCTTCAGATGTTTCTCCTAAAACTCCAGACACACACTCCATTATCACACCAGCACTAAACTATAAAATGGATCAATTGTGAATAGCATCTCGGATCCTCTGTACCTGGAAGAGATGAATGCTTGAGTTCATCGCCCTATTTGACTTTTGATGGATGTTTGACATTGGGAAATTATTGAGATGTCTTCAGAGGGTAACACTTTACTTGAAGGGGTGTGCATAAGACTGACATGACACCTTCATAACCGTGATATGACATATGTCTTGAATATGAAGGAGGGTTTATGCATGTTTATGGCAACTGTCATTAAGTGTCTTTCACTCAATAATGACATTTTTAATGCAAATATGACATTTGTTATGATATCTTGACATAAACCATAAAATCATAACCTGTCAGTGTCTTTATCATGACAACTTGACATTAAATGAAGTTAAACTGTCATGTGGTTGGCTTTGACATTGGCTGTTGTGAGGCAATATAACTGTGTCATGAATATTTTTCGTGTCCTCAACTACAGTGGTACTAATTGAATTTGTCATTAAAAAGTTATAATGGCTTCATGAACGCCAATGCCAAAACCAGCCACCTGACAGTTTAACCCTCTGGGGTCTAAGGTGTTTTTGGGGTCCTTGAGATGTTCTGACATGCTCTGATATTTGTACTTTTTCAGTTGCTTATAAACATATTAATGGCACAGGTGAAATTACACTCTATTTAGCACAAACAGGGCTACCGTAATATATGAGCAACATGTATGTTTGAATTTTTGAGAGAATATTGTTTATGGTATTGTAAAAACTAAAAATTTTCTAAAATAAGGCCACAAAACACATACGAAATATGCGTCCACAAGACTTTTGAAATGTTAACCAATAGGTTTGATATGTGTAATGTTAACCAATAAACCTAGGTGGTTTCTTAACCCTTGTGCTGCATTAGATTTTTAACACCGTTGAGTGCATTAAGGACCAAAAATGGCCACATATTAAACATTGCCTAAAATATTATATATTATTATTATTTTCCACTTTTACCAAGTTAAATCTTTTAACCAGCATCAGTCCTCATCATAACTACCAAAAATGTATTCAATTTCAGGATTTTAACCCTTTAATTGTCAGTTTTGTTTGCAAAACCATCGATTTGTATAAGAGGAAAGAACACAAAAATTCAATTATTTTCAATAAACTAAATGCAAAGAGAAAACTTTAGAATTGGATTATCACAGTCCCACTTTGCAAAAAATCCCACTTAGCGCGTTAGAGACCAAAAATGGCCACCTATTAAACATTGCCTATTGCCTAAAATAAGGTGCATTTCCACCCATAGGGAATAAATATGTAGTGACGTCATCTGGTGGAATACACTATATAATGCAAATATAATGCTTTTGCTTCAAAATGAAAGGATGTTTGTGCAAAAATCATGTTTCATGTATTACTGACAGCCTCAGATTTAAACAACGTTTTAATGGGTTTCAATGGGCCATTTTTGGTCTTTATGGTGCTGAGTGTTACTATTTGATCTACACAGTGTGTGTTATACATATTTTGCAAAATGGGATCACATTTTTTACATGTATCCAAAAAGTCACAATTTTGCCAAATTTCATACCATTTGCATTAAAACAGCCAAAATGGTCAAAGAAATTAAACTGCAAAAGACCAAAAATGTCCCTAATGCAGCATAAGGGTTAAGTTTGATAATTAATCTGCTATGTCATGTTTATGACAGGTTGTGATGTCAAGTTGTCATGACAAAGACATTGACAGGTTATGATGTATTGTCTTTGTTATGACACCTTGACATAAACCATCTCAAACAATGTCATATTTGCATTGAAAATGTCATAATGGAGTGAAAAGACACTTAATGACAGTTGTCACAAACATGCATAAAACTTTGTTCATATTCATAACATGTCATATCATGATCATGAAGGTGTTCATGTTAGTCTTATGCACACCCCTTCAAGTGTTACCTAAATAATAAAGCTATATTAAACAGTTTTGTGATTTTTATTTCCTATGTTGTTATTCTGCGCTCTTTATCTCAGTCTCATTTGTATTTTCTGCTCCGCTATAAAAGCAAAGATGTAAACGCATTCCAACTCTGAATATTAAATTTGTCACACAAAAGTTACTACAATTTCCATGCATGCCATGTAATAGTTCCCAGACAGCAAACTGACATTGAATCAACGTGGAAACGACGTCTCTCATGACATTGAAACAACGTTGATTTTGCTCATCGAATTAACGTTGAACCAACGTCAGACGCGGCATTCTTCAAAGCTAAATGAAAATCGAAAATTGGTTTGCTTTCATAACGTTGAAACAACTCGTTGATTTCAAGTTGATTTTCCGTTAGTTTTGAAAGAATGACGCGTCTGACGTTGGTTCAACGTTAATTCGATGAGCAAAACAATGTCAGATCAACGTTGTTTCTATGTCATATTTCCACGTTGATTCAATGTCAGTTTGCTATCTGGGTTAATCCTTAAACAAAAATTTATTATCATTTGCTCACCCTCATATAATGTCGAACAGCACACAAATGCCATACACTCCAGATCTCCTAAAGTCTAAAACGCCCGCTCCACCCAGTTTGTTCTCATTCATTTGGATTATGTGGATGTGACGTGTACCACATAAGAAAGATTTAACAAGATGAATAAATCACAGCAGAGTTTTAATTTCTGTTCTTACTTTAAACGATGAAGCTCACGTTACTTCACTGTATTTTCAGTAGTGACCCACAGATTACGACAATGGATGTTATGAATTCTGTCCGTTTTGTGGGTGTCTGGAAGACTGACGGCGGCTCACTGTCAGTTCTCCCTGTGTTAGCATGCTCCGGTTTCCCCCACAAATGTGTAAATGCGTGTGTGTGTGTGTGAGTCCTAAGCCATGTAATGGGAGGGTTGGGGAAAGAACCCAGAAAAGTCTTGCGTATGGTAAGAGATGGCCCTTAGAATCACCAAGAGTCAGATTTAGACCAGTAGACCAATCACAACAGACTGGGGCCATCTGACCAATCAGAGTAGACTGTGCTTTTAGGCAGGCTGGAATGGTTAATGAATGAATGTAAAGACTGACAGCACTTTTTTTTGTTTTAGATATACTGACTAGAATCACACCCCACCATAAACCACCGACACCCACTGATGACAAACCACTTTACAATAACATCCTCAGTTTAGCTCCAGCTCTTCTTTCCCCATGCTGGATGTTTTTGAAGTTGTTGCTCGTGTCTGGGGTGTGGTGGAGATCTCTGCAATAAACGCAGAAAAAAAGATCCAAATGCCACGACTACGCCAAAGTCAACTCTGTGGTTGTGATGTCATCTCATCCAGTTTTAGATCTGCAGACCGCTTTAACCACAGATATCTGTGTGTATGTGACGCCGGCAGTGTAAGACGTCAGCTTCCTGGCTATATTTGGACTTTATTAGGCCTTAAACTGGGCTGTCTGCTTGCAGTTGTAAGTTTATGTCTTTCACTGTCCTTAAGCGTCCTCGGTTCAGTGTTCCAGAGGGTGTGTTGAAAACACCCATCAGTCCCTCACAGAACCTCTCCAACCTGTAGAACCACGGCTTTAAATATCACTTCAACAAAAGCAACTTTAGTGCAGGCTTTCTGAACAATGAGTGGAGTCACGTCTGACTGCATCTTTCCAGCCTCCTGAAGGCTTTATCTGGACTCATCTCAGCATTGCTTTCACTTCACTAGACAAGACTGTCTATCATCTTCCTGTCCTGCAAATGATTTAAACGCTGTTTCAAAACCAATTAAATGGGCTTTGTGTGTTAAATGACATGCAAAAATAACATGTGTATTATATAATAATATAATAATATTATACTTTTTGTCTGCATTATAAAAGCCAGCAGTTACTGCAGTAGATTATCTATAGGCCTGGAAGTGTGTTTGTGTCAGACCTCACTCAGTTTCCACCATTTTTGGAAGGTGCAACACTGGGTCACTTAGTTGGGTCATTTCTAATAATAATATTCCATGTTTATAAGGTAACCAGTTGTCTGAGATTTGTACTTTTTTTTCTTTTTCTTTTTTTTTTACACATTTAAATCATCAATCATTATTTCTCCATGACAAACTGTTAAAGGCACAGGCAGAGCTGGCCTGACTTGATATTCCAGAAAAGATGCTTTACACAGAACATTGAAATGTTTAATAACCACTAGGAACAATACACATCAACACCAATGTTAACACAAGACAAAGAACAGAAGAAAACTGATATAAATACACGGTATACACGGATGGTAAGGAACAGGCGAGACAACTATGGCAACCAAGAAAACACGAACTCAAAAGACCGGATCT